GGGGCAGCAGGGGGTACTCAGAGGGGGAGGGCAGCGACGTCTCGGCGAAGATGGGCGCCAGCACCAAGGACAGCAGGTGTGGGATGTGGTGGCAGGGGATGCCCGCCAGCACGGGGACCAGCTGGCCCGTGAGCAGCTGCGCCAGCCGTGGGTGGCCGTAGAAGCCCGCCTTGATGCGGCTGAGCATCCCGATCAGCCGGTACAGCTCGATCCGGATGTGGAAGAGCTGCCGCCTGGCGTCCCTCACCCAGCCGAAGTCCATGGCGACGTCCCTTGGGCCGGGGTAGAGCCGCGTGGCCTCCTCGCGGATCTGTGGGTGTGTGCGGACGCCCGGTCCCTCTATGGTGATGATGTCGTCTTCACCAATGTCGAGGAAGGAATGCGTCCAGCGATACTCGGCCGACTCCAGAAACTGACGTGCACGGACAACAAACGCCTGTGTTATGTGTGTGAGAGCCGCTTCTCATGTCAGCCATTCACCTGTGGTGTCCAGAGAGTCTGCAGAGCAGCGAGAAGGCTGAAGAGCATCGGCAGCAGGTCACCCAGTGCGTCGTCCAGCGGGTGCTTGATGGCGATCCTCGGCTCGGTGGGCGAGGGGGTCGTGCCTTTGGCTGCCGCTGGCGGTAGAGGGGGCAGGTCGCGGAGGAAGCCGCCCTTTTTGGCGGCCTCCATGGACGAGGGCACGTTGGTCCACCGCACTGCCACAGACAAGGCGTTCAGCCGACGCTTCAGACCACCGCTGCACAGGGAGACACAGAGACGGTATATGAAGAAGAGATGGGTGGGTGTCTGTGGCTGCTTTCATCCTTACCGTTGTGTGACGAGTCTGTCTTGCTGTGTGGGGTCCGTCCTGGCCTGCGCTGTGCTGAATAGCAGCTGCACGAGGTCGGGGAGGGAGGCCGCAGCCTTTTGTAGGGCGGGGTCTGTCAGCTGCTGGATGGTGGGGGCGATGGCGGCGGTGAGCAGCTGCCGCTGAGACTCGAACGGCTGTGTGGACGTGTTGAGGGATATCAGGGTCTTGAGCAGATGCAGACGGTCAGTGTCGCCCAGCTGACGGAGAAATGACACACACAGACAGACAGACCACACCCACACGTAAGGATGTGCGCAACGGTTATGTGTGTCTGGCTGTGTCTGTCTTGCCTTGTCGTTGGTGAGCATCGACTGGACGGTCTGTTCGATGTGGTTGAGGTAGGGCGTGAGGGCATTGGGACACCTCTCAGACAGGCCCACCAGTGTCCATGTCGCCCGTATACGCACCTGCTTGACACGCTCACGCCGAAACCTGATGCAACCCACACACACAAAAGACACACCGATCGGTGATCGACGACTGTCATCCTTCCCTCGTCATTTCCCACTCGTCGGTGGTGGGCATGGCGGCGGTGACGGCGCTTGGCGAGTGCGTGGAGCTCCTGCCGTCCTCCGACGGGTCGATGAGGGTCAGCCGCGTCACCACGCACTGCACAACGGCCTGCGCGTGCTGCGTCGAGTAGTTGAGCTGCCACGCCAGACAGGAGACCACCTCAAGCCGCCGCACCTCCAGCAGCCACTCCACCGAGTTCGCACCAGACAGATCCGTCGTGAGCACCAGATCCAGCAGACGGTCGCCGGGCCCCGTCCACGCATACGAACGGGATGCTGCCGATGTCGACCCGTTGACCGCTGCGGCATGAGTGGTGGGCGGGGGCAGCGCCGTCTTGGCAGAGCCGATGTTGTCCTGCGTCTTGGCGTAGACGGGCATGACTTCGATCAGTGCACTGAGGCCGTCCAGAAGAACCCGTGTGGGCGAAATCCATGAGAGGCTCTCCGTGAGTCGTTTGCCGTCCATGCCGCCCGGCGCGCCGGCGCCGCTGCGGATGGTGCCG